ATGTAAGGATGTAGTACAGTAAAAAAGACAGATATAAAGCTATTTTAATCTCACGGTTTAATAGAACACAAAGAGTGTATACACCTACGTCATTGTGATCGATTCTGAGCCATGTTACACAAAGTCTCCAACCGTTGGTCACGATAGTCACACGGACCCCAATCAAGTAGTCTGCATCTATCAAAATGGCTCAGACCAGAAGTTAGTGACTTTGTTAGCTAATAGCACGTTCTGGTTCGGTCGCCCCTAACTCTCTTCTAATCATCTCCTATACGAGTTATTTTGAGAAATAATACGATGCGCACTGCCGAGGAGTCCCACAATAGGACAAAACAGCCATCCAGTGCTTCCAGGTTTTTCATGGTGGTCCAGCTTCAAATAACACATGAATTCAACAATCAAATTACTAAAATCTGCACAAAACCCTCTTCTGATAATTAATTTTTTTGTCAAATACAAATATATAAAAGTGGAGTATTTGAAGGATGAAACGAATAGTGTTCTGTAATAACATGTATTATCTGAACTGTAAGAACCTTAAAAAGAAAGGGACTGACATACAACTGTTATATCTCGATCCCAAAGTTCATTTATAGTCTTCATTTCAATGGTGAAGATAAATCATTCATTTTGAGTAATAATACAGTGAGTACTGCTAAGGAGTCTCATAATAGGACGAGTTGTCCGTCCAGTGCTTCCAGGTTTTTCATGGTGGTCTAGCTTCAATGGACTCATGACTTCAACAAACTACCTTGATTTTATATGACAGCCTAAATAAACACGTCAATTATAACATTCTGTTCTATTTTCATAATTACAGTCCATTCATGAAGTAATTAGTAAAAAGTGTAAGTGGTAATTGCTTATTACAAACTAATCATAGATGTCACCAATTTAAAGTGATCTGAAGTCTTTGAAAAGTAATTTAAGTATTTTAGTTGAATATCTGGATATGTAAAGTTTATGTCTTTCTGAAATGAAATCAGAAATATTAGTGAGTATTTTGAAAGGAACTAAAATGTTTGTCTTTCAGATGGACGTCTTTGCCTGATTTAATGTAAACTAGTTTGAATAGTAAAATGACGAAGTTCAGATTGTCATTCTATACAGTATTATTGTTATAAACGGTAGGATACTTGTTATAACGCTAGGGTTTCTTGTTATAACAAACCTTTCACTTTTTACACATATGTGGGACGTTAATTTACCTTAGACGAATATCCACACTAGATTCCCACCCAGTGTCTATTCTACAGGACTTCAACACAACTCAGATTAAGAATACAAGATTAGCCTGACTAGAACATCAATATATTTCCACAACAAAATCCGACAACAAGGAACAGTCGATCAATAACAGTCCATACATAATAAGGATAGGGGAATATATAATACAAATAATCCCTGTCACACTATCTACCTGTTTGATTCAGCAAAACAACCAATCATTATCATTCTCGCCCACATGTCAATTATTAGCACTACTTTGAGTAACATTTACAGTACTAGATAATCTCAAAGAATATGGTTTGCAATTTAGTCTGGGAATAATACACATTCCCAGTTTATCAACGGATAAACAAAAACTCTGTCAATCAAAAGCTAAAGAATCAAACTAAGGAATTCCCTAAAGCTAACAAAATCTACATTAGAGATCATTCATTAGGAAGACAATCAAAACAAATTGATTGATATAGCGGTTGTCAATTAATTTTTTCTTTAAAAAAGGCATTTTTATCTGATACAGAGGTTGATCATTTTATCCAGGGTATGAATGAATTCTTTGTCATTTAACAACGTCGGTCAACTCCATTTTGGCACATATACACAATTATTAGTCATAATGATCATTGCAAAACTCCGCCTGTAGCTCTTCAAGAGTTACTGCCGGTCCCAAGCCCGGGTAAAGGAGGAGGGTTGGGCATGGGGTTAGCGACCACATCCCGTAGAAAACCAACTCGCTAAAAAAACGCTAACCAGAAAAAAATTATTCAAGTAAGTAATGATCATTGCAAAGGATTGAATTCATAATTTTGATTCAAAGGAAACAGAAGTAGCTTAGATCATGTTATATCATATCGAAAATTCAATATTCTACTGATTGGAGATTTTACAAACAAATCATTCAGTCCATTAATTAATTACCGCCGGTGTTATATATAGGTGAATCTGAAGAAGACATGAATGAAAATTCAAATAGAAACAAATGATTATAATAAATTCACATGATATTGTTTGTTTGAATCTTCTCATTAATGTTTGGGACTGCAATTGATCAGTCTCTTAATAGTATATGTGCATACTGTGAGTATGGCCTCGACATTTCCTTAATTCACAAGCATGGATAGTGGCTAGTAGTCAAATTCAGAACTCGCTCTTCGTCCTATTTGGGAATCATCAGCTGGTTGTATTTGCATCACAGAGTTGATGTTCACACTGAGACTCGAACCCAGTACTGTTCATTTGAAACGCTACCATGTTATCCACTCAGCTACTGAGTCCTGATAGCCACTTGCTTGTGCAATGGAGTTATGATTATGATTCAGTTCAGATTCAATTCATTTTATTCAATTTTCTAAACATTTTTTTTATCAAAATACTTGAAAACCTTGACATACTATCTTCAAATTTTTGAATAAATTTCACTAGTAAATATTTATCAATCTTAAAAAGGTGACATATTCTATATAGTTGAGATCATGAGTCAGTCGAAGTTAGACCACCATGGACGGCCGTTTCGTCCTAGAATTCCAGGAAATATCTCATGGAGTTAGTCATATTCTGTAAACTATTCTTGAGTATCTAAGAAAATAGGATGAGATTATAATTTCTGAACGACCTTTGAGTGACATTAAGAAGACTTTGAGAATATCCACCTACTTACTAGGGTCAATTGAGGGTGTGAAAAAACGGATTTTAATTCACAGTTGATAGTAAGGGTTAGGATTTATATTTATGATTTTCATCACGAATTGACATCAGTTAAAATAAGTGAATGAATTTCGCTTCATAATTCAAGACCTGTTATCCTAAATCTGATTAGTTCGTCCATAAATTATAGTCTCACCGAAGATTAAATGAATTCTCTGTCATTCTATTCAAATAATCGTTTTTTATTATTTATCACTGGAGATATCTTTTATATGAGCGAGTTTGACAAATATTACGTAACATTGAGATGGTGGAGAAGATTTGTAGCTCAAATGGTTAATTTTGATAGAGTTTTATTCTCTGATCTAGATGGTTTGGTCGTGGAGCTTTGATCACTCTTCTGAACGACATTATCAGCACAAACTTCGAGTGCTGATGATGTCGTTCAGAAGAACAATGAAAACTTCACCACCAAACAATCCATTTCTCTTATACCTCTCAACTAAAAACTTTATACATTTGAAATACTTCAGGAATCCCCTTTTAGAATCTTTTGTTTTGTTTTTGAAAAAAATGAAAAAACAACAACAAAACACTCAAAGATTTTAATGTTTATTCACCATATTCAAATAAAAATCTTTTGTACAAGAAAAAACGTTTTGTTTGTATAATCACTAAGCCTTTCAGTCTTATTCATTTTCCTATAAATAACATATGAATAAGTGAAATAATGGCAAAGATAATGAAGAAAAAGTAATTCTCACATACTGAATAGTCGTATGTATGTATGTATGTATGTATGTGTGTGTGTGTGTGTAAGACTGGGCCAAAAACAAATAAATAAACAAACAAACAACAGAAGCAAACAACTTTAATTAATAATAATGGTCATTGACTGAATAACTATAACAAGAACCAATATCACCATCATCATCATCATCATCATCGTCACCATCATTAAAAGAAGGAAATTGAAATCGCGTAAACAACAAAGTAAAAACACATAAAAGACAAATCTAAGAAAATGAAACGAAGAAACCAATAAACAACAACTATTCCACTTTTCCTAGATTGTTTAGTTTGTTTGTTTGTTTTCATTCTTATGATTTAGAATAAAATTGTAATGATACAACCAGCTGTTCTATTGTAACATTACTACTTATATACATATCAAAATGGATCCTAAAATAGAAGTAAGAAAATGTAATTGCCACTTTGTGTAAGCTCATAGCAACAACAAAAACAACATACATACAAACATTATGAAATAAATATACAAACAAACAAACAATGTGTGAATGTTACTGTATTTTGTTTAAAATCATAGTTATTCCTATTTCATTGTTATTTAATAAATAAACAAACATAGAAATTGAATATGAAGAGAGAAAGAGAGAGAGAAAACAATGCAAGCAAACTATGGGTTTAGAAAGAAACTATACCTACTATATATTGAAAGAAAAAGAAAACTTTTTCAAGAAATAGAACATTGATAATCATGATGATTACGAGATCTTTTCAGTTCAATACATCTACTCAAAGCCAGTTTAGTCTTTTAATTACCTACTAAAGGAGTAATGTCTATAATGAAATCATAAATAAAGACAATAACGTTTAGATAGTAATAGAATAATCCTATAATTAGTATTCTAAATCTATTCACAATTATTTAATATTTAAAGAATACACTCAATAAATATGAGTACAATTTTAAAGGGGGGGTGGGGGCGGATAAATATCCTATGCCAAAAAAATTAAAAAATAAATAAATAAACAAATAAATCAATAAATCAATAATTAAACACATGACGATAAATAGGAAAAAAAGATTTAATCAATAAATCAATAAAAAAGAGTAAACAGTGTTTTATTATTTTTTTGTTTTTTTCTCTTCAAAATTACCCATATTTACATAACTACATTGAAGAATTTATTAGGAAAACAAAAAAGAGAGGATAGAAGAGTAAAATAGTAGTTAAGGAAAATAAATATATTATGTTCAGTGGAAGAGGTAATAATAATAATACTATTATTATTATTATTATTATTATCATTACTATTATTAGTATTAGTTACCATAATCATAAAAATTGGAATGATGATTACATCATTAATAGATGAAATTGTTATCCTATTTGATGTAGAAACAATAATTGAATAATGTACAATATATATATATATATTTCTTATATAATACATCTTACATGTAAATACATTATAGTTACTACATAGCAACATAGGTTGCTATGTAAAGAATCCTCATTGATCTATGTATATATAAGCTTAATATACTTGAGCATAAGTTGAACTAGAATGTTCTTCTGGATTTAATTTAATACAAAATGTTGTTGATGATGCAGTATTAGGTAATTCATTTTCATTCAATGACATTATAGGTTTTTGTATAAATGATTGTTTATCTATTGAATAAGATGAATTTAATGAAGGATCTCGATGTTGATAAGGTTGATGTTGATGTTGTTGATAAGGATGTTGATGAGGATGCTGATCAGAATACTTTGTACCATTCATTATTGATTCATTTATTGATTTTTTATTCTGAATTTGTTCATTTTCTCTTTCATCATCACTACTATAAAAATTTGAGTAGTATATATTTTGTTCATTGATAGGTGAGTGATTATTGTGTTGATGTTGATGATGATGATGATCATGGTTATTAGTACTGAACAGATACTCTGTTTCTTTATGTTTACTAGTTATTATCATTGGATAAGATTTTGGAATTGATTTCATATCATTAGTAATTGATGCAGATGTATGTCGTGTATGGGTTAATGATGATGATGATGATAATGATGATGAAGATGAATATTCTTGATGTTCATCAATTTTTATAGGTGAACATTGATAATTGATTATATTATCATTATTATCATGTATAGTATGATTATATCTTGGTGCTGGAGGTGGAGGTGATTTTGGTGGTGGTGGTAGTATTATTTGTTTATCATTATAACAAAATAAATATCCTTCACCTTGTTCAGATTTTGATGTGAAGGAATTTTGTTGCTGTGATGTTGTTGCTGTTGGTGTTGTAGTTGTTGTCATGGTTACTATCATTTTTGAATGATTTTGTTTAAAATAATTACTATCCGATTCATCTGCTGTTGCTATTTTTTTCCATCTATAAGATTTTTCATCATCATTTGTTAAACTACTAGATGTTGCCGAGTTTGATTTATTTCTAATCTCTTGTCTTTGTGAACATTCAACTAGATCATGTTGTCCTGGTGGAGAAAACTGTGGTAAGTTCCCATTTTCTTCATTATTACTTGTTCGATAACAAGCATTTGTATATGATGGTTGATTAGTTTGTAATTGTGTTTGAAGTACATTACATTTTGTAGATACAGAAGGAGTTACATTTTCATCGAATTCATAAGTTAATTCACTAGGTGTATCAATATTGTCATCATAAACACCATTGTTCATAGTATAAAATGTTGGCGAAGTACAATTTTTTGTTGAGGTATTTTTATTACCATTTAATGCATTATGAATAAGAGATGCAGTTGCATAAGGTGCTACAGTCAATTGTGGTATTTGTCCATGACAATCATGTATTGAATGAGAAGATGGTATTGATTCGTTTATATGTTGTAAACTATTAATTGGAGCTACTGGTGCTATTAAAGGTAAACTAGTTAAACCAATTCTTGTTACTGAAGACAAATTTTGATCTATATTATGATATCCATTTGGGATATTAGTATTGATTTGAGATTGTGGGATAATATGAGATTGATAACTTAAATAAGATGTACGTGAAGTACAATCATTTGGGAAAGGTATTAATGTATTTGGCCCTTGAAGTATATGATGATTCGTTTGGGTGTTGTTAGATTGAATATTTGGATGATGGTTATTATGTACGATTGTATTAGTAACATTTTCTGCTGTAGCATACAATCCAGCATCCAATCTAGTTTCATTCAGTATACATGGAGAATGAGACAATGCTAAAAGTGCTGGATTGAATGAATTGAATTGAGTATCACATGACTCTGTATTATTAAACTCATTATGGGAATTAGTAGTCATATTATGTAAAGTTTGATTTTGAGTAGTTGATGGATAATGATGCCATCCAACATATTTCCCTTTATCTATAGATTCTAAACAATTATCATTTTCTATATTTGGTGTTTCTGATCTTAATAATGGTTCCAATTGAACATGATCTTTTTGTAAAAGATGTGAACTTTTGGAAATTTTATTTTCATTTATGGAATTATTTATATTTGTGCTAATATTGTTAGATCCATCAGCTATTGAGCCACATTGTGAATGATTGGTTATAAGTACAGTACCAGGAGATTTTCTAAATCGATAACGTTGATATCTACAACAAAATGTTATCAAAGCAACAGTAGCACACCATACTAATAAACTACATATCACTGTCACAATAAGCCATGGTTGATTTATAAAATCTTCCCCCCTTTTATCATTAATTTCTTTTCTTTCAATATTCATAAATTGTAAAAGTTTACCAGTTTGTATATCAAAACCCCAACCAACACCTAATCCTTTTTTACGTAAATCTGGTTTTAATTGAATAGGTGCACTTCGTACTCCAATTCCTTTACATGTAACTGCAGCTATTTGAACAAAATATATAGTTTTTCCAGTTAATCCTTTAATTAATGTCTTTTGTTCAGTATAAGATAAATTGAAATTTTGATGATTACTTGCATCTTCATCATATACATAAATTATATAACCCATTAATAATCCATTCCAATGGTTTACAGGTGGTGGATCCCATGAGAGTTCTATAGTTGTATTAGATATCCATACAGCAAATATTTTATCCGGTGGTGAACTTGGAAAACTTTCAAAAGTTAAAACTTTAAGTGTATTACTTTCTCGGCTTTCAATATTTTTCATCAAAGAATTAGATGAATATGCTTTAACTTTGATTTCATAGCATCGAAAAGCTTCAAGATCACGTAAAAGGCTAGTTTCTTGAATTGTTAATGCATTATGAATCTCACTATATTTCCTATCTTTCTGATATTGAGTTTTGATATCGATGATTGTCCACCGGTCTGATGTTGCGTTATTTAATTCCTGTTCTTGCTTATTCTTAAGATTTTGTTGTAGAGTTTGCATTGTTTCAAGACGAAATAGAGAATGTGAATCTAGGGAGGTGGTAGATTTGATACTGCAGTACATTCTTTCCCCATTTTTTGTTGTTAGTCCAGTTGTATCTGAGTAAATACCCTCGAGTTTGTTAGAAATGCACTGCATCATGGGGACTTCTCTGTGATAAACTGAATAACCTTTTACCAATGATAGTACAGGGAGAGCTTCTGTAATGGACCAGCTAACTCGCACCCTTTTAGGTGAAAGTGGATACAAATGTAACAATATTAAGTTAACATTTTTAAAGGACTTCAAAGTTTCTCTGTCCGATAGTTGAACTTCTTGATGACTTACAACTTGTTCTTTTAAAGTTAAAACTGGACCCAGAGGGGCGCTGGCCCAACCTACTCTTCCTTCATTCCAGCGAGGTCTAATTAAAAAATAATATATAGTTTCTGGTTGTAATCCTCCTAACTGTACAGTATGTGCATGCCAATTTTTCTCAACCACTATCCATCCATCTGTTGGTCTATCAGGTCTATAGAGCTCTACCCAATAGGTAATCTGACGAGAATTCATTGGGCTACCTCGTGTGAATTCTTGCGAAATAGATGGTGGAAATGGTAGATCCCAAACTAGTATGACAGTCGATGACGTCACATTAGTAGCTTTTAGGTTTTCTGGCGGAGGAAGAGGACTTTCGTTGATGATAGGTGCCGTTGCCGGTGATCCTTCAGGTACAACATCTAAGTAAGAGGTCCAGTTGGATTGCAAAGTAAATGACACCAAACTCTCATCTATGTAAGGTTTGATAACTGCTTTTGCAATACATGTATAATTTCCAGAATCTTCTATTCGTAAATTTGATATCTGAAGGCTACCTCGTGGAAGCAAAGTGTAACGCTGATCATAAGGCAGGTTTGAGATGTCTATATTTTCCTTTACACCATCCTTCGTAGACCTATACCATCCAATAGACCAATCAGATAGATCTGAATAGGGCAATGTTGATGCCAAAGATCCAGGCAAGCCTCTAGTTAATCCCAGTTCGCAATCCAAGGTGACTATCTCACCCACAGTTCGTGTTTGGTTTGGAGGTGGAAGTCCTATTATAGGGGCTAGCCAATAAAAATTAGATATAGAAAATTGGCTTGGTTCGTTTTCAGAAATTGAATATACATCTTTCGATGAATCCACCTTTTTCTTAGATTGGTTAATGACGTGCAATGTTGCACTCGTATGAATTGTATCGATAGATGAATGCGCTGTGCATTGGTATTTACCAGAATCTTTTTGTCTGACATCTCTAACTTCCAAACTTCCTTCAGGAGTTAGATAATGTTTGCCATTATGAAATTCATTAATTGTTTGATCACCAGGAAATATCGGTGTTTTATCTGGAAGTTCCCAATAAATTGATGGCAATGGATGCCCTGCAGCTATACAATGAAACACTGCAGTTTCTCCTTCGTTAACGGTCAGATCATCGGGTGTGACAGAAAATGCTGGTGGTGTATCAACTGTAACCGTGGCATCAGCTTCAATACCTCCAGCAGCAGTGCAAATATATGTACCAGAGTCTGAAATCTGAGCGTTTCTGATAAGGAGATAACTTTCAGTCAGTTCAGCTCGATGCGGATCTATTGGTTCTTCACCAGGGCCTCGTTTCCATTTAACAACATAATTTCCTTCAACTTTGCATTTCAGCTTGATATCACGTCCCTTTTTGACCCTAATATCTACGGGAGTTTCCAGGAATCGAGTACGTGACTTAACTATCAGATAGGCTGAAGGCGAAACTTGTTCACCGGCAATATTAGACGCCACACAAGTATATGTTCCGCTGTCTTTAATAGTGACAGGATTTATATGCAAACTTCCATCGATTGATATTTCAATATTCGACTTCAACTCATTTATCACAGAGATATTATTCTTAGGTTTTACTCCATTCTGAGCAGAAATCAAATTATTATTTTTCAACCAGTAGACCTTGACTTCAGGTAATCCTATTGGAGGAATACATTCCATTACAACTTTATCACCTTCATGAACAGTTTTATCCACTGGTATTTGTTTAAATTGGGAACTTATATAAACTGAACCACCACGTACTGGTGGTTGACTTATTGTCCATCCGGCTGAATTTGAAGCATTACAATAAAATGAATACAATTTACCTCTTTCAGGACTAGAAACTAATAGTTTACCATAATGTTGATTTACATGTATACCAGAAGTTGTTCCACTACTTGGTATTTCATCAATAACTTGTTTACCAGTCATTGCATCATACCATACAATTATAGGTTTTGGATATCCAGTAGCTTGACATGTAAATTCAAGTACACTATCTGTTGAAAATACATCTGAAGGTGAATGAGTTATTATAGGTTTTATCCAATTGTTTTTATGTTCTATTTCATTTTTGTATGCAGTTAATCCTATACTGAATTGAACAATTAGAATTAGATATTGATATATGAAAGTAATCATTGTCTGAGAAGCTGATTTAAACCAATGACTTTGGTAAGATTATTATTATTGATTGATTGATGTTTAAAGGATCCTTGAAATCATCAAATACCAGTTTCTGAATGAATAAAAGAGAAGAACAAAAGAAGAAATAAAGTATTTTCAATATGAAGGAGTATTTGGATAAAATGCTAGAGAATATTTGTAGCTTAGATAGATGGTACTTGGGTTGTAGAATGCTGGTTGGCGGTCTATGCTCCATTGGGAGTAACAGTAAGATAAATGCCACTGAGGTGAATGTTTGTTATGTTAGACAAAATCATATCCAATCGCCAATGGAAAATAGTAGAGCTGAGAATTATCACTTTTGTGTTTATGTGATACATCAACTTCCCTGAGTAACAGTCAACATATACTTTCAAGCATTTTTCCTATTGTGAACAATGTACTGTACATGAATTAAACATTTGGACATATCTTCATAAGTATTTAATGATTATGTATTTAAATCTTACATATTCTATAGTTAAATTCATCAGTCAATTAAAACTAGACCGCCACGGAAAACCTGGAATCACTGAACGGCCAACTTTTTGTAGTATGTGATTCCTCAACAGTGCTCATTCACAATCTCATTCGCGAGATTTGAAGCCAGAACCTATCAGCCTCGTGACCTCTATACCACTGAGCCGGCAAATTTATTAGACATTGATATTTTATTAGTTCAATTAACGGTTCATTACCTCTTTTAGGAATATAGTTCCCAACATTTTTAAAAAATTCCTAATACATACTACTTACTTACTTAGTAACCGAACAGTTATTATTTCCTTTATAAACAAAATAACGAATAACTTATAGTTTTCGATAAAGTTTTGTCCTTTTAAGTGGACGGTTATGTCGTGTAGCTTTCATCGGTCATCGATGAAAGCTCAAAACAACTGTCAAATAGTTTCAAAGTGAGAATCTTCAATATGAACGTCAACACAGTCTGTACTACTGTACGGAGCTGAAACGTGGAGAACTACTACGGCCATCATCAGGAAGGTGCAAGTATTTATAAACAGTTGTTTACGCAAAATACTCAACATTCACTGGCCGGATACTATCAGCAATAGCGTTTTATGGGAGAGAACAAACCAGCTTCGAGATGAAGAAGAAATTAGGAAAAGAAGTTGGAAGTGGATTGGACATACATTGAGGAAATCACCAAACTGCATCATGAGGCAATCCCTAACTTGGAATCCAGAAGGGAAGTGGAAAAGAGGAAGGTCAATGAACACATTACTTTGTGAAATAGAAGCGGATATGAAAAGGATGAATGTTAAGTGGAAGGAACTGGATAGGGTTATTGAGGACAGAGTTGGATAGAGAATACTGGTCGGTGGCCTATGCTCCTCGACGAGGGGTAACAGGCGTAAGTCATACTTTTCGATAGAGTTTTATCCCCTGACCTAAATAGTTTGGTCGTAGAGCTTTCATCATTCATCATTCAACACCGTGAACGAAACGTCATTAAAATTATCCATCTCTTAAATTCCTATATATAACCTTTTTAAATTTACCTTCGACATTTTCATTCATTCAATTCTAACTAAAAAAAGTTGTAACATTGTTTTATTGTTAACTAACTTAAGTCATGATTATAGACAACATGAAAAATCGTTGCATATTTCTTCTTCAATTCATTTAAATCATTCATGTATCTTCTAGATGTATCTCCTAAATGTTCAACATTTCAACATTAAAAACATTACAAAAGTATCATATCACCTTACATACAAGTAAAGAAAAAAAAATTTTAAAAAAAAGAAAAGAAAAGAAAAAAGAAAAAAAGAGAAAAAAGAGAAAAAGAGAAAAATAGAAAAAAAAGAAAAAAAAGAAAAAAGAACGTTTTTCTCAGGTAACTTTTTTTTGTTTTGAAATCATACTAACTAATTTATCATTGAAGTTGAAATAAAAATCTACCATTTCATTAATATAATGAACAGTTGTTATTGTTGTTAAAATATATGGATTATTTTATGAATATTGTTAACACACTTAGTTGAACAAAATTAAGAGATTTGATATAATTTGAAGAAAAATGCAGTGATACGAACTAGATTGAAGAGTGTAAGCTCTCACTTTTGAAATGTTCTCACATGGCAACATGTTTATAGCCTCTGTCAGGGAAGTACAACTCACTGCTTTCTCATGGCGGGGGGGGGGTGGTGTTTACGAAATTGAGAGGACAAAAAGTGAATATCTGGCATTTTAACCAGGTTTGATGGACACGAAAACTTATCAATAATTTAATTTATTAGTTAAATCCTAAATCAATATCATCCATCAATCATTTTAACGATTCTCATTCGACTCAACAACACATATCATAATTTCGTTGGGATATTTTTGTGAAGCACTATGATAAGTTAAGTTTATTCTTGTTTAAAACGATATTTCTTGCAGGAAGGGGTTTTTTGCAAATATTATAGTAATTTTAATAGTTGAGGTCATGAATTGATTGAAGCTGGACTATCATTGCAAACCTGAGAGCACTGGACGGCCGTTTCATCCTAGTATGGAACTCCTATATGGGATTACTGAAGAGGCATGCAATAGGACGAGACGGTCGTCCAGTTCTTCTAGGTATTCCATGGTGGTTTAGTTTCAATCGACTCCTGATCTCAACTATTAAATTTATTTTATAATGTCAATTTGTTATGTTTTTAATAGCTTATGAGGTAACAATTATTATAAGTGAAATTAATTGCCATTAACTGAGTATTTAAAAAACAATTAGTCTTTTTGATAAATTTTGTAAAAAAAAACACCCGGATACTCGCCGGTTTGTTTGAACATCTGGACTACATGTACCTACTACCTAGATATCACAAGTTATCTAATTTGTTTTTGTAATACATCATTATGACTATTATTCGCATAACCTATTCAGATGCGTTTCTGAAAAGTGTACAACCTTTCGTTGTATAAGTTACAAAAGGCTTAATCAGAGATCTTATGGTTGCTAGCAATATACATCGAAAAAAACTACGTTATTTATATGTCGATTAACTGGATTACCAACATCTAATTGGTGATCACTCATTATTTATCGTCAGGATCGACGAAGAAGTAAGAAATGAAAACTTGTTGAAATACATTGTGCTGAGAATTTTATATTATACCCAAAACATAATGCTGAATAAAGCTAATAGTAATTGTAAGGATGGCTCATTGGTAAACTCTAGGAAACCTCAGGAAGGCCAGAAAGAGCCGAAGACATTCCATCCAATCACTGATAGGGGAATATTCTAGGACGTGTAGCTTCCTCATCTGATGGATGAGAATGACCCCCTATGTGCCTATTGGTTGTCTGAGATGATGACTTACATTCAGCCAAAACAATAAATACATGAGATTTCTGTACTATATTTTGACACTGTTTTGGGGAATAAAGTTCCTACTTACTAGTCTTCTGTCTTCTCTCTTGTGACGTTGCGGGTTCGACCGTTCAATTAGTCTAGTAGTACGCAGCACAATAAGAATCAAAGCTTCAGATAAAACACTAATACTGATAATAATCATAATAATAAATAATGAAGAAGACAAAGGTTAACTTGTTACCATTGAATTTTGTTTTCAATATATAATGTCTTACCAAGTATATGTGTATCTTGAAACCATTCAAAACTTATCTCATTAATATATCATCTAGTTTTGGTAACCTTTGTCTTCAAACTGAGTATTATATGGAGGAGTATATATTCATATAATTTTATTTAAGGTACTTTTGAAACTTGGAAGAAGCGCTGGATATGGATAGGACACACTTTAAGGAAATCACACTACTGTGTCACAAGACAAGCCCTCATATGGAATTCTGAAGGTCAAAGGAGAAGAGGAAGACCAAATAACACATGACGTCGAGAAATGGAAACAAACATGAGAAGAATGAACAAGAACTGGATAGAACCAGAAAAGGAAGCCCAGGACAGAGTGGGTTGGAGAATACTGGTCGGCAGCCTATGTTCCATTGTGAGAAACAGTCGAAAGTAAGTAAGTAAGTAAGTAAGTAAGCAGGTAACTTCTGCAACTTGGACCGATGCATCTATGTGCTTGATCTTACGTTGTACCTGGCTGAATCAGATACTTCAGTAGTGATTACTATTTTTTTCATCATCCACCCTACATCCATGATGTAAAGTTACATCTGTACTTTAAAAGAAATAATTGGCAAACTGTTTCATATAACTTGCTTTCATCATAAAATTTGATATTTATGAAACAGTTGTTAAGGATAGAAAAAAGGTAGTTCAATATAAGAGAATATACTAGTCATATTTTATCATAGCAAGGAACATTCACTTTGATTGATGTTCTTATTAGGACTTTTTTAGGTTGTTGTTTTTTGAATTCTGTACGGATTACTTTACCCTGAACTATTTTGTCTAGTTTTTTTTTTCTTTGTTAAACAACAAAGAATTCTTGATGAATTTAGGTTAGTCATAGTTACAGATCAAATCAAAACGGTAAATGATGTAACACAATTGACTACATCATATTACTGATTAATTTCTTTATGCTTGTCACCTACAATGGAGCAGAGGCCAACGACCAGCATTCTCAAACCCACACCATTCAATGACTTCCTTTCTAGTTCTATCCAATTGTTGTTCATTCTTCTCATGTCTGTTTCCATTTCTCGACGTCATGTGATTTTTAGTCTCTCTCTTCTCCTTTGGTCTTCAGGATTCCATGTAAGCACTTGCCTTGTGATGTAGTTAGTTGCTTTCCTTAACGTGTGTCCTGTCCACTTCCAGCACTTATTCCTGATTTCTTACTCCGCTGAAATCTGGTTTGTTCTCTCCCACAGCAGGTCGTTGTTGATAGTTTCTGGTCAACGGATCCGAAGTATTTTGTGTAAAAAACTGTTAATAAACACTTGTATCTTCTGGATGATGATTTTCGTAGTTCTCTAAGTTTCCACCTCATACAGTAGAACTGTCTTGACATAAGATTAAACATGTGTAATGGTAATTCATATGATAGTCTGGCAGGAAATTTTGTTGCTCATACAATATATGAACACGAGGTATCGGTTGTATTCTAACAGCTAGTATGTTAGACCATTGATTATAATCTGAAGATTATTGATTCGAATGTTAACAGCACTTACAACTAATAATATATATCTGGGTCTATAATCAGCAATACAAGTAAGTTTATGTATGATACAATTATCAGCTGAATAGTTTCCATGTAATTTCTACTTCATAATCTTCATATTAGACAAGTTATTTGGCTAATTGTTGAAATAAAATGAGGATTGACAAAGAAAAGACAGTATTCCTACAATTGAACAACATATGAACCTCAAAATAACTGTCAACCAATATCAAAGTAATAATCAGCAATACGAATGTCAAGACTTCTATTGTATGGAGTGGAAACATGGAGACCTATGAAAGCTATGATGCAGAAGATATAAGTGGTTATTAACAGTTTTCTACACACAATACATAATATCCATTGACCGGATATCATCAAAAACAGGCTAGTATGGGATAGGACAAATCAACTTCCATCTGAGAACAAAGTTAGGAAAAGACGTTTGAAGTGAATAGAATATACATTA